TTTCAAATGAGATAACATATATTACCAACAATTGATCATAATTCTTATTATTAATAGAAAAAAAAGCGAAATTTATTTTCAATAAAGCTTTTCTTAAGACAATTCTAAATCTTGTATAACTAAACCAATTAATATTAGTCTTCATTTTCTATAAGATTGATTTTTTATTTCAATTCTCTGATATGCTAATTCAACAAGAATTTATCAAAATCGATTTTATTAAGTATAATTTATGATTTATTGATCAATATAAAATAAATAATGCTGCTCGATTAATCTATATGTTCTATATATAAATAAATGCTTTATCTTAGGTAAACTTCCAATGGATCAAATTGGTGTTGGAATATTTTATAATGATCGATGAACTTGTCGTTTAACTGGAACATTTTCTTCTCATGTAGATTTAAATATATATATAAAAATAAACATAAATATATTGTCTATTTAAAAGAATTTTATAAATTAACATATTTTTTCAATAGAGTTCTATTTGAATCTATCTATTTATTATTTAATAAATATATTATCTATAAACAGTCGAATATATTTATTTATTAACCAGCTTTTTATTTAAATACAAAAATATATTATCTAGATTAAATAGAATATTTATCAAATAAATAATTACTTAATTGAAATTATTCTATTTAAATAGATAGTAAATAAATAAAATCAAACAAAAAGATAAATGAGTAATTAATTATCAATATATACGCCTGGAAAAAATAAGCTTCAGTCTGTATTTTGGGGATATCGTTATCATAACAGCGTATTTTTAAAAAAATAATGATATATTCTGAAAGAGCGTGGAGTTTTCTATCAGTCTGTATATTTGCCTTTTCGTTTGAATATGTATTATCAAAAAAAATTGTGTGTAATAAAGGCACCCTCATGTTCAGATTCCCACAGGCTTGATTTTGTCTCTGTCTCCAAAATTAGTTTTTAAAAGATTTCATTATTATAGAATTATCTTTTGAAAAAAGTAATTATATATTTTGATAGAGCTTGAAATTCTCCATCACTCTGTGTATTTACTTATTTTCTTATATTCATTTATCGAAAAGAAAATTTGAGTACAGTGAACGCACCGTCAATTGGCAAGTACCGTAAATCGTTACTTTTTTCCTTTTTTCCTTTTTTCAAAGTATAATTACTATACAAATATATTTCTAAAAAAGGAATTATAGATTTGGATAGAGTTTGAAATTCTCTATCATCCTATATATTTTCCGTTGCCTTGCAATTATGTACTGAATGTGCTGCAGCACATAACTGCAAAATAATTAACAAATATACAGGATGATAGAAAACTCCACGCTCTTTCAGAATATATCATTATTTTTTTAAAAATACGCTGCTATGATAACGATATCCCCAAAATACAGACTGAAGCTTATTTTTTCCAGGCGTATATATATAATAAATATTTCCAGATATTTTCTCTTATTCGTTTTGTTTGAATGAGGACAATAATAGATTGTAAATAAATCAATAAGATTAGTTCTAATAGATATCATATTGAACTTTTTTAAATATCGATTTATAATTAATTTAAGATTTTATTTTATTTTTATTCAAATCAAATTAATTATTAAACAAATCAATGGTCTTATTAGTTAATCTTTATTGATTATTGATAATAAAAATATGTTATTTCTATATCGTTTAATAGAAATTGAAATGCTCGAAACATAAAAATTCATCTGTCTCTGTCTGTAAAAGACATAGCACGGAATTGATATAGTACGATGGAGCGTGCATTCAAGTTGTGCTATAAAGGACGAAAACATACTGTTCTAAAACGTGTTTGTTGCACTTGTAAATCTTTGGAGTGTTAAAAGTGTAAATCCTACGTTGGAAAAAGCCAAAATACTTTCTTAGAGAAAAAAATCTTGAACGTTTATCTGTAAAAGAATTAGCTGCAAGACTCTTTTATCATTATTATTGAGTTTATTTAGACATCTTTTTCTTAATTATTACTTTTTTTATGTAATTCTATATAAATATGTACTCGGTTAGTCTTGGGCCAAATGAATCAATTCTCGATGAATGTTCCTTGTGTATAGAAGTTAATCAATTTAGTTTTATATTTAATTAAACATAAAAATTAAATAATCTTTTTAAGTAATTATATATATATATAAACATGTTTATATTGATTAACTTTAAACAAATCTTTATCTGAATAATATGTCTATCTTAATTTATTCATTAATACAATGAATAAACAAATAAGTTTTACTTAACTATATTTAGTTTTTATTGCAAAAAATAGATCCATCATTATTATATTAATTATTTGTGAACATTATTAAAATTTATAGAAATATTTTATTTTTATGTACTAAAAGGTGTTAATTTCATAATTAATTTATTATCAGATTCAATTCTATTTACTACTTATGGAAATTAAATTGCCACTCCACACAAACCATGATCTAACTTACTCAATCGTGGTCATCCGATTTTGCTTAATTTAATGTATGTTGAATAGGAAAATTTCCAAAGTAGTGAGGGACAGAAGGACTTAACATCATAGGCGTCCTCCCATATTTACACCTCTGAAACAATCAAACTCAAAATTTGGAAAAACCGATTTCAGACTCGAATTTCCCATCTGCAACTACTTTTGGTCAAACTTTACAAAAAAGCCGTCATTTTCTTGAAGAAAAGTTTTTTTTTTACTGAAAAATGTGTAGTTTAATTTCGATTATTTTTTTGATTACAGTCACACCCTTTCTAGGTAAAAACTATCGTGGAGACGAAGTCATGCCTCCGATGCTACATCAGGACATTTGCAACTCGATGTAAACAAATCAAATACGGTATATGTGTGTGTATGTAAAAGCTGTTAGTGCAATTCATGTGAGATTAAAATGTTAACTACGATGTAACTGTTATCGTTAATCAAATGGAAAGCGTTCCGTTTGATTCTCTTTGCACTACATTTGTTCCTAACTATTTATTTAATCTTTTAGAACACAATAGGTAAATAGTTGATATATACTAAGGAAATCTTATTGATATATAATCTTTAATCTTATATCAACAGCGTCTATCATAGTCTGTAGGGCACAGCGAGTGAAAACAAAACAGGATATCAGAAATAGTCCCTACAATTACTATGCTTAATAACTTGGTATTTTGTTTAATTATGCTTTCGTACTTAATACTGATTATCTATGCTGATTTAGCATCTTGTGTAGTCGTAAGAAATTCGAGAAATAGATTTTTTATTGATTTTTTTCAAGAAAACCTCGTAATCCCCTCCATCAGGTTACGTTGAAAGTTGACTTTCAAGTTTCGACTTGAAATTTCGCATAAATAATGTTTTCTGTGAAACTAGTTCATTGTGAAAATTCCAACTTTTTAAGTTGCTTCTGTCATCATCTATGAGTAAAAGCACAAAATTTGATTTTTTCATACAACAATATTTTCAATACTCGTATCTTACAAGAGAAGCAACGAAAAAAGCTGAAGTCTTCACAAAGAACTCGTTCCATAGAAATGATTATTTGTGGCGAGTTTGAAGTCGAAACCCGAAAGTCAACTTGAAACGAAAGCTGAGAGAGACTCAGGGTTGTTATTGAAAAATTCAGTAAAAATTCGTATTCATCAGAACGAAGACTTGGAAAATCAAATCATTCTAGACTTTTATCGAATACACATAGTCTCGATCTAGAGGCGGTATAGTACATAGAGATGCTCCATAATGAATTAGGACTGTTTGTCGATAAGAAGTGTAAAGTTAAGAACTATCTATGGATTATGTTTAAAAGCAAACAATCGATCTACAACTTTGAAAATGAACGGTTTCTATCGAAAGTTAGTTTTGAGAAACCGTATCTTAATAAGGGCTTACATTTGCATCTTTCTACATACAACTTTGTTGGATGATGACGTCTACTATCACAGAGGAAAGTCAAATTCAAATAAAAGTTCCGATAAAAACCGACGAAAGAGTGGCATTGTTCACTAATCATTATTTTTTAGTATATGATGAGAAGGATATCGACCGTATGGCAGTAGAGCGAATCTCAGGCAGTCTGAAAAGCTAGTCGTATATGGTAAGCATATAAAACTAAATAACTAAATAATATCTTAATAAATATAATTAGATCTTCATATGTAAACATAAACTTTACTTTTAGATTTTAAAGAAATTCATGTGAAATTTGTACTAAGAAGACCAACTATCGATAGTTTGAATTGCAAAAGAAGGGTTTTTTAAATAATTTTTTATCTCTTTTATTACAGACGAGCGAATAATTTGTTTGTTAATATGTATGACAGTGCTGAGTGAAGAAAAAACATTGTTATCAATAATGTAGAAACGACTTATGCATCAAATTGAATATCTTCAATGATCTTTTTTTTGTCAGAAATGACAAAAGTAAATATTTTGACAAGACATAAACATATTTTTGAAAATTATTATATGTCAATACAAATGAGAAGTAATCGTTTTCTACTGATGTTGAAAATAAGATGATTATATTTATCTATTTGTTTTTTATTACAGTTATAGCGCCAAGAGAAAATTTATTCTTTTTTTTGAAACAATTTTAAACAAAGAAAAATATTTTAGAAATTTTCCTGAATAAAGAAATAATTTATCTAAATCAAGATCTTTTACTTGACTAAAGTTCAAAACATGTTTTATCAACAATAAAATTGTTTGTTATCATTTAGAGTGATTGATAGTTATGGGTGTGGGTGCGTGGGTGTGGGTGTGGGTGCATGGATAGGTGTGGGTGTGCTTGAAAAGGAAAGAAACATCACACCCACAACCCACACCCCATACCGACACCCACCCACACCCCCACACTCACACCCACACCCACACCCACCTAGACCCACACCCACACCCACCCACACTCAC